TGCCCGCCTCACACAGCGAGGCTGTGCCAGCTTCACACAGCGAGGCTGTGCCAGCCTCACACAGCGAGGCTGTGCCAGCGTCAAACAGCGAGGCTGTGCCAGCGTAAAACAGCGAGGCTGTGCCAGCCTCCCACAGCGAGGCTGTGCCAGCGTCAAACAGCGAGGCTGTGCCAGCCTCACACAGCGAGGCTGTGCCAGCGTCAAACAGTGAGGCTGTGCCAGCGTCAAACAGCGGGGCTGTGCCAGCGTCAAACAGCGAGGCTGTGCCAGCGTCAAACAGCGAGGCTGTGCCAGCGTAAAACAGCGAGGCTGTGCCAGCGTAAAACAGCGAGGCTGTGCCAGCCCCCCACAGCGAGGCTGTGCCAGCCTCACACAGCGAGGCTGTGCCAGCCTCACACAGCGAGGCTGTGCCAGCGTAAAACAGCGAGGCTGTGCCAGCGTCAAACAGCGAGGCTGTGCCAGCGTCAAACAGCGAGGCGGGGTGCCACCGTCAAACAGCGAGGCTGTGCCAGCCTCACACAGCGAGGCTGTGCCAGCGTCAACCAGCGAGGCTGTGCCAGCCTCACACAGCGAGGCTGTGCCAGCGTAAAACCCGAGGCTGTGCCAGCCTCACACAGCGAGGCTGTGCCAGCGTCAAACAGCGAGGCTGTGCTAGCGTCAAAAGCGAGGCTGTGCCAGCGTCAAACAGCGATGCTGTGCCACCCTCACACAGCGAGGCTGTTCCAGCGTCAAACAGCGAGGCTGTGCCAGCGTCAAACAGCGAGGTTTGTCCAGCGTCCGGGGCCCCCGGGAAGTACTTTCTGGTGGGGGGGGGCGAAATTTTTATGAAAAATTGTTGTGTTGCCTACCGTTAAGGGGCAACACCCAATACGGTTTAGACTTCTCTAATAGTGTTCCAAATCCAGCGAGCGAAGCGAGCTTTAAAACGAAAATTTACACAATTTTAGACTTTAACACAAATTTTGCCATTTTTAGAGCCCAATCACACGCTTTATTGGTGGGCGAAGCGAGCCAAAAGGCAAAATAATGGAGGAAAATTAAGAAAACGTGCGAGCGAAGCGACCAAGAAGCCAAAAATCAAAGAATTTGCGACTTTGCTATATTTTTTTCTCTATTTCGAGCTCAAAATGGCACTTTAGTGTCTGAAAGTGGGGGGGGCGATGCCCCCCCCACCAGATTTTGGGGGGGGGGGCAAGTCCCTTCCCCCCCCTAGGGATGGTGTACTGGGGAGTAACTCAATCCGGGGAGTAGGATATCCCGCTTACACCGGCAGCGGTAAGCCGTTTTCTGTTGGTGTGACTCCAGTTGTGCCTTTTTCGGGCCGGTCCGACTCAGACAGCGCCAACGCGTTGTTGTCTCTCCGTGGGCGGTGCTTCGCCGCCCACGGTGGGCCAGAAGTCCGGCCCACGTGGCCCAACCGCCAGACGCGTTTTGAGCTGCAGATTCGCTAAACAGGGCTGGAACCGATTGTGTGACCGTGACCCCACCAATGGATTGCTCTCCGAACGAGGAATCCATTGGTGAGGTCACACGCTCTGTTCCCGGCCCATTTAGCGACTGCAGCTCAAAACGCGTCCGGGATTTTGACCGCCTCCATCGGTCTTCTGGCCCACTATGCCGCGTGGTAATCGAGACGCTTTATGCATAAAACACGCAAGGTGATGTTTATTTACGGCCGCGCAGGGTTAATAAAGGGGCCCGTCAACCACAAGAAAGCGGAGCCGAGCGCAGCAACCTCCCTGCAAGATTTATAAGCGAGATCGCAGAACGGATTTGCTGGCAGAAACTGTTAACTGATAATGGAAACTGCTAGGAATCCGCCACCTCCAGGGTTGTTAACGCTAACTTAGCGACTAGCGTTGCTAACTTAGCGCGCTAACGCTAATTTAGCGATTAGCGTTAGGCTCTAAACATTATGGGAAGCGTTAGCTTTAGCGTTAGTACGCTAACATGCCCATTAGCGATTTAGCGGTGCTAACGCTAATTCGGCTCTTGCAACTGGTCAAAGCCTACTTGATTCTTGCCGAGATTCCCGCACTTTTCTCCCCTCCGGGCGAGCTCCCCGGGGCCGGGCGCTTGGACTAAGGAGGCCGGGCGGGTGTACTTCCCGTATTCCCCCTCCCCGCTCGCCTACCCGGCGTCGTGTTTCAGCTTCAGCGTATTAGAACTGAATACAAGTTGAAGTATATAAAAAATAAATGAAAACACAAGTTGTTTATTTGAGTACTAAGACTGATAAAACTGTGCCATTGCTTATTAATTGTTTTATTTTCCTGTCTTTAAAGCCTGAGAAAGCTTACTGGCGTTAGCATCGCTTGATAGCGTTAGGGCTGCTAAATCTCTTATTAGCGTTAGTGCCGCTAATTCGCTAATTAGCGTTAGCGCGCTAAAACTTCTCTTAGCGGCAGATTTAGCGCGCTAAATTTTTCGAACAGCGCTAATAGCGTTAGCGTTAGCGCGCTAAAGTTTCAAATTAGCGTTAACAACCCTGGCCACCTCCAACCAGAGCAGCATGTGGACGTGAGGGGAGTCCCGAACACACCTCGGCATGTCAATAACGGGCTTTCACCGGCCGTTTTCGGCTGTCACCGGCCGTTTTCGGCTGTCACCGGCCGTTTTCGGCTGTCACCGGCCGTTTTCGGCTGTCACCGGCCGTTTTCGGCTGTCACCGGCCGTTTTCGGCTGTCACCGGCCGTTTTCGGCTGTCACCGGCCGTTTTCGGCTGTCACCGGCCGTTTTCGGCTGTCACCGGCCGTTTTCGGCTGTCACCGGCCGTTTTCGGCTGTCACCGGCCGTTTTCGGCTGTCACCGGCCGTTTTCGGCTGTCACCGGCCGTTTTCGGCTGTCACCGGCCGTTTTCGGCTGTCACCGGCCGTTTTCGGCTGTCACCGGCCGTTTTCGGCTGTCACCGCCGTTTTCGGCTGTCACGCCGTTTTCGGCTGTCACCGGCCGTTTTCGGCTGTCACCGGCCGTTTTCGGCTGTCACCGCCGTTTTCGGCTGTCACCGCCGTTTTCGGCTGTCACCGGCCGTTTTCGGCTGTCACCGGCCGTTTTCGGCTGTCACCGGCCGTTTTCGGCTGTCACCGGCCGTTTTCGGCTGTCACCGGCCGTTTTCGGCTGTCACCGGCCGTTTTCGGCTGTCACCGGCCGTTTTCGGCTGTCACCGGCCGTTACCGGCGGTTACCGGCCGGAAATAAAAAAAAATCTCATTCAACGAACGTTAATGAAAGCAGATGATACTCGTTTGGTTTTCTTACGGGGTAGTATGCGGGCTCATTCCAAAGATAGTATTTAAAATTGTGTATGAAACAAAATACATAGACCCGAGCGAGCTGGCCGGTGTAGGTACTTGGGTACTGGCCGTGCCGAGCTGTGGCTTGCACCGCCCCCCGCCGAGCCCGAGCGCCCCAGGCCGGGCCGAATCGAGAGGCATTGTTGCGCGTGCCAGGCGGGGAGGGATTGTCAATGTGAGGAGAGGGTGCCATTGTTTACGCCCGGTGCCGCTGGCGCTGTACCGCGGAGGCATTGTCGAATTCCGCGCAGGCTGCGCCTCACCGCCAGCCGGCCAGACACACCAGCCCGCCCCGGCAGCCAGCCCCTATTATATTGTTAGGATACGCGCTTGGTTTCTGGACTCGAGAGTAAAAGCACGCTGACACCTTCATTTGTGTATAAAAGTTTTAAGTAAGTATGTTTCAAGAGTAAAGGTATCATCTGCTAACAAAGCGTTTTTAATGAAAGCTTGATGACACGTCTGGCTTAATTTTTGACGGGTTTACAAAGATCCTCGTTGATTATACGGCCGCCCTTCGTGGCCTCGGTCGAGCAAGCCTTCGACGCGTAAGCCGCAGTGTCAGCGCCGAGGCCAAACAAATCGCCCCGAACATCCAGGACTCCCGGCTGATGCACCGCAAACTCTAGCTTGCTGTTGGCGGGGCTGATGGCGCACGGGGATGCCCGTCCACTCGGGTTCCGCTCGCTCCGCAGCGCTCCATTTGGATCAAAAGTGCTTTCGGCGCCGATCGCGGCCGCGCGGCCACTCGGCCCTTTGGGTGGCGTGGCGGCGCGGCGCGGCCAGCCCACTAGCGACACTCCGTCCCATTCCATTACGCACGCGGCGCGGCCGGGCGCAGCAGCCCTTAATGAATTTAGGCTTGTTTCCATTTTTGTTTCTTTACTGTCGGACCTTTTCTTTCTTTGACGCGTTTTCGCTCCTTCTATTTGGAGTGTGTTTATTTTGTATCGCGCGGCCTACTTTTAGCACGGATGTGTATTTTCATGCCGTGTTTCCAACCCTGTTTTCCTCCCTAAAATAGGACAGTTGTAAAGACATCGAGTGTCTTGACGAGTTCCGCATCTTAAGTGAAGACGCCCTGCGTGTGTTTGCGCCCCTGTGTGTGTGTGTGTACGCAGTGTGCGCGCACCCCGACAAGTTAGGCAACCTAAACTGGTGTGGAATTCTTGATGAAGTGGCCCTGCTTGGCAGCCCGCAGTCTTGCCTTGTACTTTCATATCCATTAGTGCCGACGACGCTACGCGCGGAAATTCAAAATTGGCTAAGTAAGTGGAGTCGCCTCCCGGCAAGATGCCTGTTTGGCTTCCGGCGGTGACACTCCCGTCAAAAGCGGTTCGACCAAAGCGGAACTTGGGTTTCAGTTGGGAACTTTGCGGGACGTTCCTCCTCGTTGCTTCCGGGAGTTGATTTCTTTCCGAAGCCTTTCTCCGGGACCATCTCCCTGGGACGCCGCGCTCGCCGCGAGCAGCGAAGCCTTCCTTAATTGCGGCCGATTCATCGGAACTGACTCAGACTGACTCGCCAGGAATTCCTCATGTCCCGAGGCGAAACTCTGTCAAATCAGCTCCCCGGCGACCATTCGCTGGTTCGCTTTGTGCGACAAACTCGTCGGCAGCAGTGCGGAAACGACTCTAAATCGCCAGGATCCTCCGCAATCTGCCGCTGTTTACACTGTCACTAAAATGAGCGTATCCTTTTTTTGCAGTGCCCGAGGTGCTGATCGTGGACGAGAAGGGTCGGCCCATCCAGGACAAGCACTACGAGGCCAAGTCCACCATCCGACTGTCCTGCATCGTGCGGCACGTGTACATGACGGGCAACGTGGTGTCCTGGATCCACCAGGGCGTGCTCCTCAACCAGGACTCGCAGCGCGGCGGCATCAGGTAAGGACCCGCTGGAGAAACTGTCTCGCCTTCACAGTGGACTGCACAGAGCTATGGCCTGCCAATAAGACCTCGGAGCGTGACCCCGGGCAAAGGCGCGCGCTTGGCCTGATGACGGGTTCGTTTCTTTCGGATAGCGTAAGTACAGTACGCCTGTGGCCCTTCGTTATAAGGGCCCCGACAAAGGGCGAACCCACCTTGGAAACAAGGGTTGCCGATTCGATACCGCCCCGAGCTGCCCGTTAGCAGAGGCCTTTGGATGTGCCGCGCCGCTCCGCCGCCCCGGCTTTCCGCCCCCGCGAGCTGGCCGCGCTGGCAATGTTCAAGCGCAGCACAGTGGGCCAGCAGACCGGCGGAGGCGGCCAAAACCCCGAACGGGTTTTGAGCTCCAGAGTCGCTAAATGGGCCTCGAACCCGACGTGTGACCCCACCAATAGATTCCTCTCCGAACGAGGAATCCATTGGTGGGGTCACACGTTCAGTTCGAGTAATGCTAAGCGACTCTGGAGCTCGAAACGCGTCGAGAATTTTGGCACCGGTCTGCTGGCCCACTGTGCGCAGTGCTGCGCAGTGCTGCGCAGCCTCACAGAGCAAATGAAGCGCAAGGGATGAGCGCGGATAAGGCACCGACTCCGATACTCAATCCGATCTCTGATTCACTGCGGGCTGGGCCCGGGCCGGATGAGTCTACAAAGTTACGCGTGCAGTAAATTCCGAAGAGCAATTTCTAAATTTTTTGGCAGCGGCGCTCCTCGTGCTGCGTGGGGGAGGAATCGCGGAGCGCAATGAGTGAGACAAAGTCGGCTGCGACTGTCCCGCCCCGTCCTCGCCGCACCACCTGGCCGCGGCGCACCTGGTGAACCGACAGGTGTGCAGCGTGGCGACGCGCCGCCGGAAAGCTGTCAAGAGCCGTAAAAAACGCGACGCCGGCCAACTTTGGCAATATCGAGCGCCGGGGGAAGGGGGAGGGGTGGGGGGGACTTCGAGTATCATGCGCACTGTCACCCGGCCCCGTAACCCGAGAGCGTCATCCCCCAGGCCGTCTGCCCCGGTGCGTCGGACGCGCGGCGTGGCGCGGCGTGGCGTGCGTGGCGTGGCGTGGCG